CATAAAATGTATAAATGACAAGTGGAATTTCTTAAACTTTGAGATTGAAAAACAGTTTGAAATGAAATATGTGAAGTGTGAAATAAAATATGTGAAGTATGCTATTCTGTTTTCTTAAAAGATATTTTCATTATAAAAGTATGTGCATGTCTTATGTATACATACATACATATACGTGTAGATACACTCAGAAAATTTAGAAAATATGGAAAAATAGGAAGAAGAAAAAAACTTAAATAGCTTCCAACTATGGATATCAGTTATCAATATTTCTCCCAATACATTTTCCATGTATAGATAGCTTTTGCTGTGGAAGGTTGGGAGGGGTTGGGCGTAGCCAAGTTGTAATTGTAATGTATATGCAGATTTATCTCTTCTCCTTTAATATTTTAACAAAAGTATTTTCTGTGCTATTATAATATGTATATACATAATTCTTTATAAACGTGGTATAATAGTATAGAAACATAGTTGCAAATTACTCATTTGGGTTACTTTAACAGTTTTTAAAACAATTCTTATCAGGTATATACATAGCAGTTTCATGATATTACAAGTGACTCTGTGTATTTCTGTCTATAGAGTTCCTCCCCTCCCTTATTTTTAGTTATTTGCAGATTAGCTAGATTCCCAGAAAGGAGATTTCTAGGGGCATTGAGAATAAACACTTCTAAGACTTTCTCTCTGTCTTTGTCTGTCTGTCTCTTTCTCTCTCTCTGTGTCACACACACACACACACACACACACACACACACACACACCCCACAGATATAAACTACTTGTATCACTTTACAATTTCATGTGTAAAAAGGTCCATTAAATTATTTCTTCAATATTAGCTTTTTGCTGAAAAAAAGAGCTTGGCTAATTTAAGATATAAACATTGTTTCTCATAATTTTTGCCCAACTTTCTTCTCTTCTGGGAAATGCTGGGTGAAGGACAGGCCAAATCAGAGGGTCCCGTGGGAGCCAGAAACAATTTGTGGAGTTGAAGCACTATCAGGATAATAAATTCAAAGTAAGACACTGATCTGAGGGAAGCATGAACCATGGGAACAGGTTTTGGAGCTTCAAAAAGTAGGAGAAGCAGCATAGAGCAGGCAGAGCCATGGGTCATGTGGAGGAACCTAGGAAGGGTCAGACATTGGTGTCATATGCAGGCCCTGTGTGTGTGAAAGTAGTCTTCTCTAGAGAGAGGATCTGATAATATAGGTTGGAAGGAGACTTAGTATTGTTTTTTACATTCTTTTATGCTATTTAAAAAATATTTGTTTTACTATGTGCATATATTACTTTTTCAGTGAAAAATTAGTTTGTTAAAAAGGAGAAATGAGAAAAATTATACTTTACTAATGGGGTTGCATGCTTGTCATATTTTGTCAGTTTCTTTTAATTTCCTTTTTTTTATTGATATGTTAGAGAGTTGGGCAAAATTTTGTAGTAAGAAGTTTTAGATAATTTTCTTGTTATATTTCTAATGTATTCCTGTACCTTATCCTTTTACTAGTTGAACATTTTTATCATAATATTAATTTTATTAAAGAATTTTTTTTCCCCTGAAAAAAAGATTTTTTCCTTCCCTTACTAAGCAGAGATGGTCTCATTTCTTCATTCACTTATTTTCCTCCTTTATCTCCCCAAAGACGTGAACCAACTACATTGTTGCCCAGTGTTTTCCATTTATTGTCTCCTCGTGCATGTCTAAATTTGCGGCACTATGGTTTTTAGTAAGTGGGACCTGAATTGAGGGTGAGCTAGGCCTTGAAACTACTATTCCTCACTGTCTTTCTGAAGAAGGAAGCTCTGATAAGGAGGAGCTCTGAGGATTGGTTGGGCTTATTCAAGTCTGTGGGGCCATTGATTCGGGAGGCCATAGGTACGTGGTGGAATGTATTTGCGAGAGAGCAATCTGGGAAGGTGAAGGGTCACATGACCTGGGAGCACTTCTCCTGTCAGGCAGCCTAGTCAGGGTAGCCGAAGTAAAGAATTCAAAATTACCACTATGTACGAGTTCACTCATGATCAAAGAGATAAGTGCCAGTTTGTTGATTTAAAATTGATACTTTAGTTAAATGATTGGAGGAAGAGTTGGAAAATTTACATTCTACACAGTCGCAATGGCTGTCTACTTGAATGTGAGCAGTTATTTAATCTCTCTAGTTAACTAGCCTTTAAAAAGAATTGGCGTGATACCTTCCCTCAACTGTTTCATAGGTGTTTTAGTGAGCATCAGTGAAGTTTCTATTTTAAAATAGTAGTGAATTTTCTTTTGCTTTTGTTTATTTTCTTTGACTATGTTTTATCACTTTCTCTGAATTCATTTTTCATTTCTCATTTTTGGAATCCTCTTAGTATTCTCTTTTCTCTGTTAATATGTGATGTGCCCTGTGGCTACTCTTTGTGGCCATCCTAATTTCAGATTTCTTCCTTCAAGCGTTACCAAAAAGAATAGAGGAAGAACTTTGTGACTAGAGAGAGAAACATTTATTTTTCCCTTTTTCATAGACACCTGCTAATTTATGCCTCCTCCTTGTCGTTCCCTGAAGGAGCTTTGGGCATTTTTCTCTATCTCCTACTCAGGAGAATGGAAAGCTCTGAAGCCTTGTATTGCTAGACCTGTTTTTAAAATGTGCCCTATTCTTAGGGAGTAACTGAAACTTTATGTATCTTCTGTTTTCTCCCCTTCTAGGCAAAGTGGTTCAAACCACAAATTACCTAACAAGTAAAAGTGGTCATGTAGCAATACTAGAGGAATTTTTATCCTGTTTAGTATCGCTAAACTATCCTCGATGGGAGTATTTTCCAGTGAGTGTGCCTTTAATGGCAAGGAGATCGAAAAGGGAATTGTATTTTAGTGGAAGGAGACTGGTTGGTATGTCTTTAACAATTAGTTTGAATCACTTGAAATGAATTCAAGTTGGTAAGGTATGTTGCCAACTTATGTGTTTTCATAATTTTTAAAAAATTGTTTGGATATAGGCTTGTAACGTACAAACAGCTAAGGAGAAATTACAGAATTTTAAAAATATAAATCATGACGACTAAAGCTTTTTCTTTTTGCCCTAGTAGGAAGCAAGGACTGGTAAGGAATACTTGACCAAGAAATGGAATATTGTGTATTATTCTTGCTTATAAATGTTTGGCAATGCTCTCTGAAGGAAATGCATAGAAAGCTATGTTAAGATCATTTTAAGTTTTGTGCAATGTTGTTATATCCCGTTGATACTTTGAATTTAGTCTTCAACAGCTATGAAGGAGTTTCCAGCTATTGAGGTCAACAGATTTGCCAGTGAAAACTTTGTACTTATCAAATCACTTTCATATCAAGATACCCCTCTTATTCACTGTATAATGCTGAAGCTCTTACCTTTTCTTCTGTTCATTGTCTTTATTGGAACACCCTAAGACCTATTTTTCCCATAAATGAAAGAACACTTACCGATTTCCCCACTGACATTTAGTTCCTATAAATCAACCCACTCAGTCAAGCAAAGTAATTCCTTTAAAAATATGCATTCCTTTACTTTTTCTTTGTTTTTTTTTTTTTTTTTTTTGTTTGTTTGTTTTGTTTTGTTTTTGAGATGGAATCTTGCTCTGTTGCCCAGGCTGGAGTGCAGTGGCTCCATATCGGCTCACTGCAACCTCTGCTTCCCGGTTTCAAGCAATTCTCTTGCCTCAGCCTCCCGGATAGCTGGGACTACAGGCATATGCTGCCACACCTGGCTAATTTTTTGTATTTCTTTTAGTAGAGATGGGATTTTACCCTGTTGCTTAGCCTGGTTGCAAACTCCTGAGCTCTGGCAATCCACCCGCCTCGGCCTCCCAGAGTGCTGGGATTACAGGTGTGACCTACTGTGCCCAGCCACTTTTTCTTTGTTTTCTTTTGATAGAAATGATGCTTGGTTTGTCCTTAAGACAATATAAAGTCGTGTTAATGGTTCTCGGAGTGTAGTCTGCAGACCCCTGGGGATCCTTGAGACCATTTCAGGGGTCTGCAAAGTCAAAACTGTGTTCATAATCATATTATGATATTATTACTTCTTTTTTACAGTGTTAGTGTTTGCATTTACATTGCAGGAGCAGTGGTGGGCAAAAGTGATGACTTGTCATTGACCACAGCAGACATCAAGCTATACTCAGTTATCTTATTATCTGTTGTCACACATACTCAGTTAAAAAAACAACAATTCACTTAAGAATGTCTTTGATGAAGTAATAAAAACTATGAATTTTATAAAGTCATAACCCTTGAGTACACATGCTTTCAATATTCTGTGTGGCACAATGAGAAGTACACGTGGAGGGCTACTGCATACCAAAGTACATTGTCTCAAGGAAAATCATGAGGTGATTGAGTTCCAAGCTGAACTAGCTGCTTTTTCCTTATCCCTTTTTACTTGGAAGACTGACTGATGGATGAACTATGGTTACTCAGATTTACGCATTTAGAAGACATTTTCCCTTGTCTCTATTTTATTCCTGTCTTTTTCAGGCCTGTCACCATTGTGCTTATATTTCTGTGAGGCTCTAGTGTTTACAGAGCGTTTATTTATATCTGGTATTACAGATACAGATGGTCTGTGGATCTGAGTTGAATTACTTTAGCATATAATGCTGAATTTAGGTAGAGATAGAAAAAAATTAAAATTATAAAAGAATAAGAAACAAATTAAGTCTTCCAGGGCTAAAATTATGGTCTTCTAGGATATTTAAGTTTCTTGTTTTGTTACTACCCGGCTTTACACTTCACTGTTTCTGCCTATTCATGATGGAATTCCTCCTCGATTTTTCTGCAAGGATTTTTTAGAAGGCAGGAGAAATTGCCAATATCAAAAGATTTCTCTAACTTCCTCTCTGGGTTTATGGCTAACTAGAAGTAGTCTGTTCCTCTTAGATTTATTTCTATTACTCTTTTCCTCTACATCAATGTGTGAATGTGATACTGGATTTATATGAAATATCATTTTTAACTGGTCTTTTATTTGTTTTGACTTCTACAGAATCTTGCCTCCTGGAATCCTTCAAATCCTGAATGTCTCTTACTTGTGGTGAAGGAACTTGTGCAACAGTATCACCAGTTCCAATGTAGCCGCCTCCGGGAGAGCTCCCGCCTCATGTTTGAATACCAGACATTACTGGAAGAGCCACAATATGGAGAGAACATGGAAATTTATGCTGGGAAAAAAAACAACTGGGTAAGGAGTTTTGAGAATGGGAAAAAAGATTCATCTATAATAAAATAATCAATTCAGATGTCCATTTGTAAATCCTAGTCATTTCTTTAGATAAATGTGGTCTAGTTAGCCTGTATATGTTTCTCATAATGTAGAGTTTAAAGAGACCTTAATGTTTGTCTAGTTCATTGTGTTTCTCAAAGATATTATCTGGGAAGTTTATAAGGTTCAGAGTCTCATCCACAGCCCCAGATATTCAGCAGTCAGAGGTGGAACGTGAGGGCCTGTACCTGCTCCCAACCTCCATGTCGTTCTGATGTATATGGCTTGCAGGTCACATTGTGAGACACTAACAAGTTTCCCCTTCCTTTGAATGGAAGACTTCTCTAATTTCCTGGTCAGGTAAGAGAGGTCAGTCACTCTGGAAACAGCTAGTTTACATGGTGCCTTTTATATTTTCTTTTTGTAATTTACAATTACGTGATCCTTTAAAAATTCAAGTCAGATCTTACCACTCCTCTTCCCAGAACCTTCTGTACTTTTCTTTTTTCTCCCATGGTAAAAACTAAAGTCTTTCTAGTGGTATAAAAAACTGTAATTCCCATCACCGCCATCTTCCATCCATCATTAATTCCATCTGTTCATCTCCTACCTTCCTCTTTCAAATTCAGCTCCCCGCTGTGCTGCCGGCACACCAGGTATTCTCCTGCCCAAGAGTCTTTGCATAGGCTCTCTGTGGTCAGGTATGTTTCCCTCAGATATGCACATGGCTAGTACTATTCTTCCTTCAAACTTCTAAGGTTGTGTTCTCAATGATGCCCTGTTAACACCCTCAGCAGCCGTTTTGAGGTATAATTTACATATCATAAATTCACCTGTTTTAAGTGTACAGTTAAAAATGATTTTTTAAAAAATTTGCTGATTTGAGCAACCACCACCATTATCCAGTTTTAGAATGGTTCCATCACCCCAGTCAGATCCCTCATGTCCACTTACAGTTACTCTTGTTCCCACCTCCAGCCTTAGTCAATCACTAAACTACTTTCTATTTCTATAAATGTTCTTTTCTGGACATTTTTTGTGACGGAATCATACTACAGTATGTGGTTTTTTTGTGACTGATTTCTTTCACTTAGCCTGTGTTTGAGGTTCATCCATGTTGTGGCATGTATCACTACTTCATTTCTCTTTATGGCTGAATAATATTCCATTGAATAGATGTTCAACATTTTGTTTATCCATTTACCAGTGAATGGCCACTTGGATTGTTTCCACTTTTTGACTTTTATGAATAATGCTGCTGTAAGCATTCATGTGTAAGTATTGGTAATACCCCCTTTAAACATTGTGACTTGCGCCTGTACCCTCTCCTGCACTCTTTACTTTGCTCCACATGGTTTTTTTGCATCTCCTTTTAACATGCCATATAATTAATTAATGTATTAATTATATGTTGCTATGTAAAATAATCATTCCAAAACTTTCTTTCTAACAATAACATTTATTATCATAGTTTTTGGCAGCAATCTGGGTAAGCCCTTTGCCTTACAGGCTGTGCTTGAAGTGTTGGCAAGGGCGCTAGTCATCTCAGGGCTCAACTGGAGATGGAGTCATTATAAATGCATGCATGTGGTTGTTGGCATAATTCCATTCCTCATCGGTTGTTGAACTGAGGGCCTCAGTTCCAGTGCTGGCTGTTGTCTGGAGGCCACCTTCAGCTCCTAGCCTCTCTACAGGGCAGTGCACAAGATTCAGTGCAAGCAAGTAGGTGAGAGCAAGAGGGAATATGTGAGCAAGATAGAAGTCACAGTCTTTTATAACCAAATCTTGAAAGTAACAGGCCATCACTTTTGCTGTATTCTATTTGTTAGGTCCAGTATTCCACCTTCCCAACATACCTACACACCCTCCTACACACACCTACACACACACACACACACACACACACACGGAATTACATATAAGTGTGAATACTAGGGACCATTGGGAGCCACTTAGAGGGAGCCTACCACACTTATTTATTATGTTTATTGTGTGTCTGTCCACATTGGAATATAAAATCTCATGAGGGCGGGGATCTTTGTTTTGTTCACTGGCAAATCACAAACACCTGGAGCAGTGTTTCCCACCTCATTGCTATTCTATAAACATTTGTTGAATGAATGAATGAATAAACTCGAATTAAGCACGAATACGTTTAGGTGCTCATCTCTGCTAATTCCTTTAGGTTTCACTGTCTTTCCTTGGCTAAATACATGCTCCCTTTTATTCTTCAGCGTTTTCTTTTTCTTTTTTTGAGACAGAGTCTTGCTCTGTTGCCCAGGCTGGAGTGAAGTGGCACAATCTTGGCTCACTGCAACCTCCGCCTCCTGGGTTCAAGCAATTCTTCTGTCTCAGCCTCCTGAGTAGCTGGGACTACAAGTGCATACCACCATGTCTGGCTAATTTTTGTATTTTTAGTAAAGATGGGGTTTCACCATATTGGTCAGGCTGGTCTTGAACTCCTGACCTCAGGTGATCCATCCAACCTCGGCCTCCCAAAGTGCTGAGATTACAGACGTGAGCCACCATGCCTGGCCTCTTTGACTTTTTTTTAAAGGTTATGATTTCAAGGTTTTACACATGATTAATACCTTTGAATCAGCATGACGAAAATTTTTCTTATTACGAATCATGTTGTTTGTTCAGTTCAAGGTTTTTTTCCTTTTGTAAAGTCTTAAATTTATATTGTAGTAAAAGACATAACACTCAATTTTCGTTCTTTTCTATTTTTAAGTGTGCACTTCAGTAGTGTTAACTATATTCACATTGTTGTGCAACCGAGCTCTAGAACTTTTTAGTCTTGCAAACTAACCCATTAAACACTAATTCCTCCTCCCACCCCCAGCTCTTGGCAATCACTTTATTATTTGGGTTGTTTCTACTTCTTGGCTTTTGTGAATAATGCTACATTGAACTTAGGTGTGCAGCCATCTCTTTGAGATTCTGCTTTGAGTTCTTTGGGATATATACCTACAAGAGGGATTTCTAGATTATATAGTAATTCTATTTTTAATTTTTTGGGGAATTTCCCTACTGCTTTCCTTAACTACTGCACTATTTTACATTCCTGCCAACAATGCATGGTTCAAGGCTTAAACTATTGATTATTTTGAAATGTTAATCTGTTTATATGGTTAGTAAGGAAAACTTTGTTGAACTTGGTTTATCCTTTATCCCCAGCATTTTCCTTATTAAATAATCAACTTAATTGTCCTTACATAAATGGATGTTAGATTAATTGACATGACTTCTTGGTGAACCTGTGTTGTCTTTAGTGCTGACAAGCTCATCTGAAAACAGGAATAGCTGTCAAACTAACCAGTCTTCAGTTTTTAGGATTTGCCTTTCTGCCTTATTCCCTCTTTTTAATGTTAAGGCTGAAGTTGAATATAATCCAGTTTTATGGCATCCTTTGTTACCTAATAATTTTCAAAATGTTCAGTGGCTCAGCTAATACTTGAGTTGTAGTTCGTCTAGGTGTAGAAGTTTAAATTCATTTCAGGCAGATAGTTTGTATTTATAGTATTTTTTAAACTTCTATTTAATGTTACTGATATTTCTTTCTTTACTTACAAAACCTGCTACTGCTATACTTATCCCAGTTTATTTTGATTGGATATTAAGAAGCTTTTAAACATTGGTTATGGATTGGCAATGGTTATGGATTCAGGTCAAGTAAAGAAACTGAGAATCCTTGAACAAGGCAAAGTAGACCGAGGTTAAGCTTACCAGGCCTAGGGAAGGCCTAGTAGAAATGACACCTGAGACTATATATGAGTTGAAACCAGGGAGCAGGTCAAGAAACAGAGTATAAAAGTGAGTCTTGAGGGATGAACAAATTAGAGCTTGGCATGAGGGTTCAGGAATATGTTAAAGGACAGCCTGCTAGTGGAATCAAAATCTAGATCAAGAATCTGGAGATAAATACTGGACCTTGACAGAAAGAAAGGAGCTTGATTTTGAGCCAAGATTTTTTTTGGATCAGGGACTATATTAGTTTCCTACTGCTGCTGTAAAAATTACCACTAATTTGGTTGGCTTAAGGCCACACATTTATTATGTCATAGTTCTGAAGGGCAGAAGTCTGAAATGGGTCTCCCTGGGCCAAAATCAAGGTGGTGGCAAGGCTGCATGCCTTATGGAAGCTCTAAAGGAAACCATTTCAGGATACTGAAGAAACTTGCAGATAGGCTCTCTGGGACATTATCTTTTGGAGAAGCAGAAAAATCCTAGAAGACTGTTAGAAGTAAAAATATCCTGGAGATTTTTTAAGAAATTAAGCTCAGATCTTTAAGTAGATGATTTGCAAAAATTTAAATAAGAATGCAGTAGACAATTGGAAAAATAGTCGGGTAAATGGAAAACTGTCATGACAAACTTACTTGACTTCTTTAAGGTAGGTAAATATCGTAGACTTAGATGATATTTTCATTTTCAATGAAGCACTTGGTTATTCTTTCTTAGGATTCCACTGACTTATGCTCTTTTCTTAGTTGTTGGGATCTAAAGTTCCATCTAAAACTTTGGGTATAACTCTTGTCAGCCTCAGGTGTTTTGTGCAATGTCACAGGGCTTTTCCTTTGACCCTATCTTGTTAAGGGTTTTGTTAGGGACTTGAATAAAGCCATACAAAGTATGTGTTTCTTTTTTCTGCTAGCCCACAGCTTAAAAAGATATATATTATGAGAGATAACAGAATCAACATTAATAATTATTTTTATGTGCTGGAATGCTGCACCAGACTAACATGATACACTTTAGTAGGGCCAAGCCACTATGGGACTAATAGCTTTTATGGAAAGTCTACTATGCTAGGTTTTGAGTTTAAAGATAAAAGTAGATCAGATATGGCTTTGGCTCCTGAGGCTGTTAAAATCCAGTTAACAAGGTTCAATCCATATCTTTAAAATGAATTTGAACAATACTGGATAGATTACAACTCAAATGGAATATGCAGGCTGTATGAGCATTCAGCAGCA